AAGTGATTATTACGTTTTGAATATGGATATTTTTCTTACAAAAATGCATCGATTCGCTACAGGAGGCCTTTGTTCACCCCCCAGAGCCGTGTGAGACACTTTTTTTTATGGATGGGCGATTTTTATTAACTGCTTTTGGACTGATGCATGCTACACCCACTGAGTCGCATTAAACAGCTTGAAAGATCAAAGACCATTTTTAATATAACTCCATCTGACTTCGTCTGAAAGAAGAAAGTCATATACACCTAGGATGACTTGAGGGTGAGAAATTTATGGGCTAATTTTCATTTTTGGGTGAACTAACCCTTTAAGCTAGTTTTTCAGATTTTTTCGGCAAGGTTGTTCAAAAACGTAGCAACTTAATTTTGGTGTGTTATTAAACACCATGTTCTCGTAATCGAAAATCCCAAAATGCACAGTGACAAGCTTGATGAAAAAATCCAAGACGGTGGATGAGGCGAGAGAAATGTCGATTATACACTTATTAAATGTCGATTATGAACATATTTCATTCAATACCACAAATGATCAATAAATAACAGTTGTGTAAACATTATTTCACAAACATTACTTCACACATTAAAACATTATTTCACACAATATTTCTGTGCACCATGTTGTTTTTTATTTCATTTAACTATCCTTAGATTAGCAACATGCTAACATTAAACGTGAAAAGCTTTATTGTTCACTAGGTGAAATTCATTAGGGGTTTGTTCAAATCATTAACCCTAAGGATTAGCATTAGTTAGCCATTTCAATTAGCAAGCTGCATTTGAAACCGCTATCGGGTTCATAGTGAAATTTGTGTGTACCGTTTTATTTTAATTGACTATCCTGTGGTTAGCTTAGCAACATGCTGATATCAAACTTGAAAGTTTAGAAGTGTATAATAATGGTTAGGAGTTTGACCAAATCACTAACTCTAAGGATGAGCACTAGTTACTTACATTTCCCTTTTAACAGGAAATATATATTATTATATACATTATTTCCTATCTTGTCATTAGCTTAGCAACATGCTAACATCAAAAATAAAAGTTTTATTGTTCACCATGAAAAAAGTCCAGTCACTTAGAAGAATATACTTGCAGATAGGGGTCTGTTCAAATAACTAACCCTAAAGATGAGCACTAGTTAGCAAGCAGCACTTAGCAACCACTTATTTCCTTAAGACATTTCCATTTTAACAGAAAATAACATTTGTTTACAATAAAATTGTTAGCATTTTTACAGCATTTACTAATTAAGAATGTCATACTCTGCAAAAAGGCTTTGTGCTCACACACTAAAATGCGACTGATTTCCAAACTCCTGACTAACAGAAGGTTATTTTTGAAGACGGACAAAGATTCTAAGCCTCAAAATACAAGACAAACACTCATAGCGGCTGTAATGTTTGCTTGGGAACTCACTGTTGCTGGCGAGCCATTCGTTGAGGTCGATCTCTTTGGTGGGAAGCACCACCAAATCTTTCAGGTCGAAGTCCATGACCCGCACTTTTGTGTACTCTGGCTCCATGTAGTGCTTCTTTTCTTCAGCAGGCACTTTCTTTCCATTGGGCTTCGTTTTGGATTTCCTGCAAGAAGACGCACAGAGTGAAGTGCGTGATATGTGTGTGTGTGTTTTTTTTTGCCATTAGTGCCATCAAATGCACAAGTGGTTTTCAAACATGTTTCCCAAACACAGTTTAAATGGCAAGACTAAAGATGTCATGTGGTGTAACTATCAAGTAAAATACAATATATGTTCCTAATAACTTGAAATATGTACACATCTTAATTATTTAGAAATTTTTTTTTTTTTTTTTTAAATAATATAAAGTAATATTTGGGGGGGGTTGCACCACATGACATTTTGAACTGAACTGACCTTGCCTCATCAAAATAAGTAAATTAAAAATAATATTAATAATAAAAATTAGTTCAAATTTTAAGTCATGAGGTTCTGCAGGGGTGCTCTCTATGATGTCATTTCCTGTTTTATGCAAGTTGGTTGCCCCACCTGACTTGTTTTGGTGGACAACTTTTTCAAATATTAATAATCATTGAAGATACATTTTTTGTAAGAAACAACAACAACAACAACAACAACAACAACAACAACAACAACAACAACAACAACAACAACAACAACAACAACAACAACAACAACAACAACAACAACAACAACAACAACAACAACAACAACAACAACAACAACAACAACAACAACAACAACAACAACAACAACAACAACAACAACAACAACAACAACAACAACAACAACAACAACAACAACAACAACAACAACAACAACAACAACAACAACAATAATAATAAAATATTAGTTATAAAAGCTTTTCTTTTAAAGAATTCTTTTAATGATTTTTTTTCTTCATTTTTCTTTTCTTATTTTTTTGGCATCAAAACCAAAACAGTTGTACCACTAGACTTTTTTTTTTTTACTTTAGGGCCCCTACAAAATTTAAATACAATAAATATAGAAATTAAAAACATGCTCATCACAAAAGATGTGTATTCAATTCATTGTATATTAAATATATATATATATTTCTTTTTTTTATTTTTTATTAATAAATTAATAGATCAGGACAAGAAATTATTCTTCCACTGACAAAAACTAGATCTACATCTCTGTTTTGCTTCTTTGGAGTAACCCACATTTCTTGTCTGTTTCAAAACAGGTGTCAAAACAGACTTGTACTTCCAGTGCTAGTTTTAACATGTAAATGTCAGAATTGCATTGCTGTGGCAGATCCCGCAGCTGGCTGGGACAAAGGTTACAGGGGCATTAAACAGCTAATAATGAGAGCACAGGCAAAGACAGGTTATAAAGAATTTACATCCTTTCCTTGCACTCACTTCAACTCCTCTCGGATTTATGATGTTTATGTGGAAAACTAAGGCACTTTTATGAAGAATTTCTCTTTACTGCTCGTTCATTTGAACTCTTTTCTTCCACATCACACAATAAAACTCCCTGAATTTATTGCTCATCCACCAACATGATTTCTTGTTAAAGCCTCTCTATACTGTAAACGCCTCATTCCCAACCTCAAGTTTCTGACCACCTTCACCAGTTCCTCTTTTCACACACAACGGTCCATCAAGGACCAGGAAGAGGACTTATCTCAGAGACCAAAGTCCATATATTTTGTTTTTAAATTGAAGCCAAGACAAAGGAGCAGTTTGTGGGAATGTCAGGATTCTGGATTGCTTCGGAGCGGGAAAGATTTTATCCATATCGAGGTCTTAAACTGACTTGTGTCAAAGGTCTAAAAGGGTTAATCATGAAGCACGGTCCGATCAAACATCATTGGAGCGTGGGGAGTCTGGTAAACTTCAACTTTATTTGGACGTCATTCCGTTTAACTACTCAGGATTAGTGTTCCGTGTAAAACAGGAAAAAGACAGAGATAAATCAACACGGGAATTTACACCATGAAGCAAGTTACTGATTGGGTAATGTGGTCAAAGATACTAAAAAAAAAATTTTTAATATGAAGGAAATAAAGAGAAAGAACCAAAAAAAGAGGATATTTATTGGTCCTCTTTCAACAATGACAAACTGTCCCTAAACGATGAGCCACCTCATTATTAAAATGGGAACAATAGGAGGTAATAAACATTGCAGAACCTGTCCTGCACCAGTGCTTTTGAAATTAATGATACTTGAAATTATGATTAAAACAATAAAATGGACATCCAACAAACTTATGCTGAAGAACCAAAACCATATCTAGAAACCAAAATAACAAAGGCCTGGCTGGGATCTTTTGATAAACAACCAACCAGAACCATTTCACCATTTTATGTTTTAGGGCATTGGTGGTAATTCGTACAATCTCATTTGTATGTTTTCGTACGATCTGCGTATGTGTCCCACTGGTTAGGTTTAGAAGTGGAGCCTCATGCTTTTTTTTTCAAACCAAACAAACAAACAAACAAAAAAGCATGTTTCCTTATGAATCTCATCATATGCTTGTTTTTGTTTTTTCTAAAAATCACACATTTCTGTATGAATCACATCGTACACATTCGTACAAAAACGGCACTTTGTAAAATAGTTCTCTAAATTTATCTTTTTTTTTTTTTTGGCGGTTTTGCCTTTTATTATGATAGGACAGTATTGTTGACAGGAAGTGAAGTGGGAGAGAGGGATATGGGATCAGGAAAGGACCGCGAGTCAGGATTCGAACTCGACACCCGAAGCGCCATGGTGCAATATGACATTTTCTCTAAATCTAAATTCTGTCATTTGTCGTTTGAACTCAATCTGATAAAATTACACCATTATTCACATCACAGCTGACTGGTGTCTTTTCACATCAGCAGCCAATGAGCTTGCTGCTCAACATTCAAATACTTGGCTAGTGCTTGCTGTAGCAGTATATTACCATGCTAAACTCTCAGAGAGTTGTCATGACAGAAATGTATTAACAAAGAACTTGCACAACTGATCTAAGATCAGTATAAAGGATCTACATTGAAGGATCAACCATCCTTATCAAGTGAAAGTGATGCCAGCAAGCAAGCGGGCAGCTGTCAGGTCCAGCTGGTAGGAATTTGAACTTGAGGCTTGAGCCAGCTGGAAGATCTGAACATCTCCCAGATCCTTTGATGGATCTGCGCAGCTGAGCTCAAACACTCTGCTTCCCGCAAAACCCATCCCTCTGCTGACTAATAACGGACATATTTTAATGTCCAGAATTCAAAGACGATATGTTTTCTTTACATTCTGCAAAGTTTTGGGAGTGACATCTAAACATAAATATCGGAGTGACTTCCCTAAATTCCATTCTACAAAATAAAGGAGTCGCTTCTGAACACACAATGTTGACACAATCAACATTACAGAAACATCACACAGCTTTAAGCTTTTTTGTTGTTGTATATTACTCTTATTTGCAAATCAGTCAAATCACATACCTCAAAAGTGGAGTGACACCAGATTAAACTTAAGTGTGAACCCTACCAAAGTGGAGCCAGGAATGGCAATCTGTAAAACTATGTTGAGAAACGTGATTTTAGTGTTTGATACACAAACACAGATGGGTTTCTAGAGCTGAGTGGATGATACAGGTTTTTGGTCAAAACATTGGCTTGGTTTGAGAGTCTGGAAACTACAATACCTTTTATGGCAAAGATATTTGCAGGAAACTGCTATGAGTGGGCATGATGTGTGTGTGTGTGTGTGTGTGTGTGTGTGTGTGTGTGTGTGTGTGTGTGTAACAGGACGGCCGCTGGCAGCTAGAAAGTTTTTCTTTCTTTCTAAAATAAACTAGCTAATGGCTTGAGAATTTGCCCTTCACCACATAATTCACAAAAACGGTGCTTCCTGCAAAATTACGAAACCCTGTGAAGGCTAAAATAAAACAATGTGCGTTCAGATTTTTGGACGAACAAACTGTTTCTTGATGTAAAAAACAACTATACCGGGGTACTGACATAACATGGTGTTCTGGAACCTCAAATGCATTCCCATGTTTTGTTTTCCATTGTTTTTTGGTTTTATCCGAATCAAGCAGGAGAATCCTGGACTTGATTTTATCTTGTGACTAAATTTAAAACATTAATACATGTGTTTATCTTAAAGCATGGAAACGTTCACTGGTTTTCTTCAGAGGCTTGGTGTGGATAAAGATCACAAGTTCTTAGGGAACTTAATTAAACAATTTACTTCACTGACAGTTAAACATCTTGTCAAAAGTAATTATTAAACACAGCATGCTGTTCAGAATCTCAAAGATGATATATTCATGAAGCCTGACATTATGCAACACACTGTGCACATTGTCATCCAGCATCTGCAAGCAGCTAAAACATATAAACATCCCTAAATCACTCTGACTCAGGACAGGGTTGGAAACTTCAAAGATGCCATATGGATACCAAAAACTACAATCTGGAAATTAGTAAACAGCAGTGAAAAAATCCAGCACCTACCTGAATGGGCTCTTTTGCTCTTTAGGAAAACATTACATTATTCTTTAAAAAAAAAGAAAAAGCAGCTAAACAGTGCCAGTGCAAAGTTTTTCCCCAAACTGCCATGGAGTTCATTCTCATCACACAAGGACAAGTGATTGAAAATAGCAAACAAAAGAAACCCATAAATAGCCATGATTGAATGTCACATGACATGACAATCCATTGGTCAAGATCAAAATTTGGTGCAAAAAGCACCATCGATAAAGTTGGTTTACAGGTAGAAATAGATTGACATAGCGGCCGGCCAGCATGATTAATTGGCCAATTTTTGAGATTATAGACAGTTGTTAACTAATAATTAATAAGTGAATCGAAATAGTGTAAAACAAGTGTTTATTACATTTCAGCAATTCTGTGTAGATCAAGTATTACGTAAATAGTGCTATTATATTGGCCATCAATCATCCTGTTCTCTAGATATTAATATTAGTGCCACAATTTATTTACTGTACAGTCAGGATAATGATAAAATAAAAACGGGATTTTATTATGAGCATTTATACTGGTTTCAAACAACAGGGTGACCTTCAGCATTGATTCTAAAGTACTTGCTGGCCTTTGGCTGAGTGCGTCTAGCCAAGTTTGGACTTCCTAGTTCTCATGGGCATCAGGAGTGTGTGAAGAGCCATTGAGATGACAGTATTGTGTTAAACACAGCAACAGCGCCATGGGGACGGTACAGCCAGAGGTCATCAGCATCACCACCACAGAGAGGTGGCTGAAGAGAGAGGTCTTTGAGACCATCCCTCACAAACACAAACTTTCCAAATCAATTTCACAAATTTACCCCTTAAAGGTTAAAAAAGAGCCATGGAATACAATACTTATAAACTCACATATACAGTAGCCTATCTTGTTTGAAATCTATTGAATTAAGAGCCCTCTTGAATGAATTAGATTCTATTTTTTTTTCTTTGCACTTGTCTCTACTGTATTCCAAAGTAAATCATTGTAACAATCATTTTAGACAGACATGCAGGTTTTTATTGTTTTTTTTTTGCAGAATAGTTGCATATCTATCTATCTATCTATCTATATATCGTTTATAAGACATTATCTGTTTTTCCCCGAGTGTAATATCCGGTGCAAGTGCTCGAACAATTTAAGTTTCCAAACAATTAAAATGAGCAGTGAATCATTACAAACGTTTCATGTTTGCTCATGAATATGCATGAGACACATATTTTCTCAACCAATCGTATATCTGCGATCGGAATGTTATTATTCTCGCTCCATAAACAGCACGCGCGAATAATCGGTCCCAATAACAAATGTTCAGCGTAAAATGTTTTTTTATTATTCTAATTCCGAATAGTTTTAATATGTCTCTTTTTAGAAAAGCCTAAAAGTTATTTAAATTTCAACCAAACAATTTGCCTATAAAGTTTTGATGGATGACGCGGCTTCTAATTGCCTACTATAGTAAATAAAAATTATATTTTTAAATAATATATTCGTATATATTATACCCTCCATATGCATGCTATTAGTATTAATGTAATAATTATTTGAGATACGTGAAACTGCGTTAAAAATTATATTCTCCTAAATGCACTGTTGTGCTCTTAAAATGTGTAAATTATGCACACATATATATTTATTAACGAAATATTGTTACTTTGTTTATTATAGCTCCTATTTAGGTTTATGCAGCTGTATGAGACATGCAAATCTACTGGATGAATAAAAAACAGCAAAGCCACGTTACCTTAAAACTTTACCAACAGCCTGAAGAACCATCTTGCAACTTAATCCGCTTCTGGGAGTTTTCTGGGAGTGCATATCCGAAGTGCTAACGACAAAAAAATGGACTGAGAGTCCAAGGCGTTTGAACTGACCGGTCTTTCCCTTTCCCTTCCGTGGATCTTTTCAAAGACTAGGTAGTAAGAGAATATAAAGTTCTTGCTCCAAAGTTCTCGTTCTACCAAAGGCCAGCCAATCAGAACAGTTAACGGGCGGGGCATGATATGTTAACGCAAGAAGACAGCCAATCATAGGCGCGCGTGGGCGGGGCGTGTTGTGGTTGACATGCAGTTTGAAGTTCTGCTCTCTGTTCTTTGCTCTCGGTCAGACAGTGTGTTTAATATTCCGGCCAATGTGGTGTGACCGGCTTCCGAATGAAGTTACTTCTTTACGGTTACGTTTAAGAGGAAACATTTACCATAATTACAAGTCATTCTGAGGTAAAGTGACAATGCACTACTTGTTTATTTATTCTGGTTGTATTCTGGTAAACCTTGATAAAAGCAACATCTTACGACCACCTAAACTCGACATAAATAATCAGACACTAGTACATTTTAAGAGCTACTTAAGTCTTATTGGAGGCAAAAACCATTGTCCTAATATTTAGGACATTTACAAATTCAAAGCCAAACATATAAAGGGCTCAATAATATTTTAAGGGTAAAAATATATTTATATATAAAAGTCTGCCTGACACTGAATTGTGCCTGAAGCCAAACTACAAATAACTTCCTGTCAGAGGAGCAGAGGGAATGTGTTTAAACTAAAACAGAATTTTAATTAAACATTAGAAAAAGTCTATTTGAGTATATGGGGGCGACTAATACTTTACAAGCGGGAAAATGTCTGAAAAATCATAATTTGACTGCCTCTGGATAAAGAAAAGACTGATAAAAATGCAGAAACATCTAGGTGATTATAAGTGAAATAAGTCTTTATTTTTACCTCATTAAAAATATATTTATATAACATAGTTGTTGCAAAAGCTATTTCTTAACTGGCATTTTGTTCGTCTTCCCATTAAATCCAAAAGGAAAATATTTGATCAAGAAGCCAGTGAATCATAAAACCACAAGTTCTTCAAAAAAAAAAACAGTTATTCTGACGTACTCTGATGACAGACAATTAGTAAAACTACCACATTTACAAAAGTTCCTCAAGGTAAAAAAAAATAAAAATAGCATATTATCTCATCAATCTTCACGTATTACGCAAGTGACTCTTTTGGAAAAATACATGAGGGGCTGGACTTGCGTAGTGAAATGGTATCTGTCAGCTAAGGCCCAACCAAAACCTCTGTCTGATCCCACACACTTCATGAGATGTTTACTCACCACCTGATTCACGACAACTGAAACAACATACCAGCAGCATCTGCCGTGTCTGATAACACAATTAAGTCACTGATTTACAGGACGTGCTTCCTGTTCAGCCTTTACTTTCAGTCTAAAGCATTAAGTCATGTTCTTGTGTCCAATTACCAATTATTGTACAAAACACGTACTGTAGGACCAGACATCATGTTTGAGGTGGTGACATCAGGCCAATGCGAGTAATACCAGTGAGATGGGATCTGGCACAACTTTACCACTTCACAAGGTGCATGGAAACAAACTGTGTACAAGAATATGAAAAAAAGAATCAAGCACCACTGGAAGGGAACTTTAATACTTTAAAAAAAAATAAAAATACCAACACGTTTCGGCCTAAGAGCCTTAAATACCCTGAGGAAGGCTCTTAGGCTGAAACGCGTTGGTATTTTTTTTTAAGTATTAAAGTTCCCTTCATCACAAGTGGTGCTGGAATCTTTTTCATATTCTTGTATGCAGTGTGAGCAATAGCCATGGCAAAAGCTTATCATTCAACTCATTCAATAAGAGAAGGCCAGGTTAATAATAAAATAAAAATAGTAAGTCCAGTAAAAAAAAAAAAAAGTAAACATTTTTAGCTGAATTTACAGTTTGTGCCAGCATCCAAAACAATTATTGTTGTTTTTCTCTCAAGCTCGATCATATGATTGGTCACATGGCTCGCTCGACTCGTTCGGTAAGAAAGTCAACAAACATTCCTCTTAGACAAAGCAAAGAGGAAAAAAAATCCTCTCAGACACAGCACATTAGGCCCGGAGCTAAAGCATCCAGCAGATGAGTAATCCAGCCCTGCTGAAATGCCTAGGACGACATGAGATGAACAAGACAGATAAGAACCTACCCACAATCCTGTCGCAAATGGGAGAAAAGACATTAAACTCTGCAAGAACCTTCCACTGTGATTACTAATATCATTTCAACTTGCTGAAGTGTAGAGAAGTTCATCCCTCATTAATCAGTGTTGATGATTAAGCATTATAGGAATCATGAGATAGCTACACCTTCATGAAATCACTCCCACAAGCAAATCTAAATCTTAAAATAATTTTAAAAAAGTTTAAAAGAGTTAATATTTTATTATTTTTCTGGTATGAACTGATCATTTTTCACTAGCAAAGGCATTAAATAATTTATTGCAACACCATGAGTTGTCTATCTGCTCATGTCCCCTGCTGTCCTGGAGAGATTTTGGAAGATGGCCATTTTTAACATGGTCCTGCATCCTATCGCGCATTCCTGCCACGGAGCAACTGCACGCACCAACATGCTCTGCTCTCAGCTAAGAAACACACGGCGGGGAGCAGTGAAAGCAAGAGAGAGATGGATGGATGGATGGATGAGGGAAAAAAACCTTTCAGGAAACATATCAGATCTGGGTTTTTTTTCTTACAGCAATCGTGTTACAAATCTTGCTTGAGAGATTCTGTTTCATTTCTGGCTGAAATATATGCAAATCCCGGGAATGTGTAAAATCTGATTTTTAAACCGATTGTGCAAGTCTGACTTTATTATAGAATTTTTGGTTGTAAATAGTTATATAACAATAAAACAGAAAATGGCCCTGCAGATGTAAAGTAAAAAGGCCAGTGGGGCAGAAAAAGAAAGAGCAAAAGAGTTAATGAAGGAAACAGTGCCACAAAGCGAGAAGTTGGAAGCGTGTTGTAGCATGTTCAAAAGGCTTCACCACACACGCAGCATTCCAGCGGTTGGAGGTTCAGGTTCAGTTTGGAAATCTTGATACGGGGCAAATATCAAAATCTACAAACATTCCCTGAAGTCTCGGCAGATTAATCAAAATCTCAAAATAGCTGGTAGTTGCAGTTCTAACTTGCTTCAAAAGCAACTATGTAGCAATTGTCCAATAAAACCCCCTGAATCAGTACAGAGTAGGAAGCCCGTTTCGCCAGTGAATAAAAAAAAGGTGATTGCGACGTTTTTTTTATCTCACAATGCTGATTTTTTTTCTTGAAATTGTGAGTTTACATCTCGCAATTCTGACTTTTTTTTCTCAGAATTGCAAGTAAACTCGCAATTTCAAGAAAAAAAAGGTCAAAATTGTGAGTTTATATCACAATTCTGAGAAAAAAAAAAGTAAAAATTGTTTGATATAAACTCACAATTGCATGTTATAAAGTCATATAAACATGCAATTCTGAGAAATAAAGTCAGAATTGTGAGATATGAACTCGCAATTGTAAGAATAGTCTCTATTTGGACTCTTTTTGAACTGGACTTTGTAACTCGCAATTGCGAGTTTACGTCTTACAATTCTGTGAAAAGAAGTCAGAATTGTGAGATATAAACTCGTAATTGCGAGAAAAAATTCAGAATTGCGGTTTATATCTCGCACTTCTGAGGGAAAAAAAAACTGCAAGATGTAAACTCAATTGCGAGAAAAAAGTCAGAATTGTGAGATAAAGTCGCAATTACCTTGTTTTATTTTTTATTCAATGGCGGAAACAGGCTTCCATAGAGTAGCGATACAGTGTCAATGATAACTTGACAACCAATTAACCAATGAACAAAAGAAGCCATCTAATTAGTGTCCATTATAAAATCTACCAAATGTTTGGTCAATATACATTTTCTGATTTAGTTATTTTTTGTTTAAATATTGTGTAAGTTCATTTAAATTTATCGGTGTTTGTTTATTAGCACCAAATCAGCCTTTGGTTAATATGCTATTGCTCACTAGATGATGGCAGATGCTGCTGGTACTAGATAACATGATCCGTTACATCATCTAATGCTAACTTAATTTATTATTTAGTTCATTAGTTAACTAGTTATTTAATAACACTGTTTAAGTTTTAGCAAATCTCATATCCATTTTTCATATTGTGCATTATAATGTTGTGATGCCAAAATTCTCTTCAGCATCTAGCATTTAAAACAACTGGTTTTAGTTTTAATGTTTTATTTTTAGTGTGTTTATTTAGACAAAATAATACAGAATTTTAATGTTGGCCATTTATCTGTTATATAAAACAATTATCATCATCTTATATCAGCAAGAATTTTAATAACAATGCATCCCTAGCAATATTGGTCATTAAAAACGGGTTTAATCATGCTGCTTTGTCACCTTCAGTTACAGCAATTTAAATAAACACAGTCATTATGATTTCAAGTGGATTAGGATTATAGACCTAAAGATGGGATACAGATGTTAATCCATAGCAACATCAATTGAGACAAGGAAATAAAGCAGTGGAAAGAACTGGCTTTATTCATCTTGTGAAAGAGCCACTGAATGTTGGTAATTATGGAGGCAGAGCCTTTGATCCCCAGATTAGGAGGTAGGAAAAGCTAATCAAGGTCTTTGTTTGAAGGACAAAAAAAGATGAAAGATGATGAGACAAGCTTCATCAGTGTAGATGACCATTATGTAAAGCAATGAGGTACACATGAATAGTCACAAACGTGCACAGACACACACTGATAATTCATCCGAAATGGATGGCATGAGTTCCAGTAAAGATTTAAGAAGACCAAGAGCAAAAATAGCTGTGGGCTAAAAAACAAAAACAGTAAAAAAAAAAAATGAAAAGGCAAGAAGACCATGTGATGTATAATTGCACTGGTTAAACCACAAGCTCCATCTGAAGGCACAGAGATACAAACAGTGGATGTGAGTCTTGTTTTTACTGTAAGAAGTTCACTGCCTCCTACTGGAGAAATACAGAAGTACATCAACCAAAGTAGCTGGTTAGCATGGTCCATTTAGCCCCTGCTGGTAAATACTGTAACTACACCATCTAGCTGCAACAAGCATTTTCTCCATTGACGGACATTCAAAAGTAGCTGTTTTTCTCCAGGTATATAGACATAATTTCATCAGGAAAGGTTCCTTTATTTTCCTACAGCACTTTGCCCCACATGCATCAAACAAGCCTCTTTATAAACTGTCAAAAGTGGCCATTCTTGTATCATTCTTGCAGGATTTGTCAATATTTTGAAAGCAGAATAACAGAAGATCCAAGACAGTGAGTCGCATGTTAGGGTCTAATAAAACAAAAGACCTCTGTGCAAGAGAGGGAATAAATAAGCTGTGGGATGCCATGTTTGTAGAGGAAACATGCTTAAGAAAAGAAGCCACAAAATTGTGCTGCACAACACAAGACCTTCAGGGTGGTGAGGGGTGCAAGAGAAGGAAACACTCTCTTAGACAGTGAGTGTAATGCATACTGACTTTGAGGTGTCAAATGCCAAACAGTAAGAATTTCCTGATAACAGCGGTGCTCAAGCAACTGCACCACAGATCTGCATGACGAACATCAGAACGTGCTCTATTTTAGGCTATCACGAATCACTCTGTGATTAGTTCCTGTCCCAATTCCTTTTTTGCCAAGTAAATTTCTCCAACCACCCAGGAACTGTAATTTAGCCCTTAAGTGCCCTCAGTTGCTCATTTGCTGATTCTGCTCCCTAGCAGGTCTTCCACTATCATAGACATTTCTCCAGTGTTTACACGAACATCTCCACCCATCCTCACAGAGACAAACTGGCAACCAAAGATTCATTCAGAGCTGTCCAATATAGACAAACCATTTATACTCTTCATTTTTAATCATAATTTAATAACAATTCCCTCATTGCTGTAGTACATGCTCAGCTAACAGACTCGATGAAAACACCTCAGAACTGGGATTGAGAGCCTACTAGAAAAAACTAAAACACGTATAGTCATGTGAAGGGCTAAGCCTCGTGTTTTATTGGCTGTAGAAATGTAAACAGCAGCCCAGCTCAGGTGTGACGCTCATGGAAACTGTTATCCTGTAAGCAGCTTAGATGCCTCTGGGAGGGAGGCTGTTTCATAGAAACCCATCCAACCAAACCTCAGTAGAGCCCCTTGGTATCATCCCTGAGGATGCTGAATCCACAACAACAGAATGTTGTGGTTCGGAGCTTCACGTAGCTTTCCTGAATATGATGCTGGTCTGGCCAAACATTTTCAAGCAGCAGCTCTTGAGACTCAGGCCTTGCATGCTTTCCAGCAGAAGTGCAGATGACACAACTACATGTTTTGGAGGGAAAATTGGTGAGAGATAAACAGCTGAAATTAATATGCCACAGAAAGACCTACTGCTGACTTTTTGTCAGCTTAAGGCTGGAATACACTACACTACTTTTGCCCCGATTTTCCCCCGATTTACAGTTTGGATAAGTCAATGCTAGTTGCCGAAATTCAGAGTCAGTCTGCAGATTTGAGTTGACAGATTTCATAGAAAATCGCGTAGTGTATGATGGTCACAGACTCTGATTTTTTAGCTTCAGACTATGATCCATCAAGTCAGAGGATATCAAATATGTTTTATATTTTGAGCCGATTTTAGAACACGTTGTTTAATTTGTCACACATCTCCTAGCAACAAGGTGCACATTTCTGCGTGAGTTTGCGGTGATCTGAAGGACTTTAAAGCCTGGTAGTGTGATCCTCAGTCGTTTAGTGCAGTGTTTCCCAACCTTTCTATAGTCGCGGCACCCTTTGGAAATTAACAAATTTGTGGCACCCTACAAAATTAATTTTGTCACAATATCTGAATTTCGAACTTCGATATGATACTTTGAAAAGTATAGATATTCGGTACAGCAGGGAAGAACTGCAGAATATACTGTCATACAATAATATTATTTAAAAAAATTGTCCATCAATGGTGGCAATCAGTAGGCTAATTTCTAATGAAAAGACCAATTTATATGACAGATTTTAATGTAGGCTTTTATTCATATGTAAACATTGTGAGATAGCTTATAATGGTAATTAAACAAAGTTTTGCTCACTCAGTGTATTTTTAAGTTTACAGTGGGGTAATTTTGTTGCAGTAGCACGAGATAACTTGATTTAAAACTTTGAATTGAATAAAAAATGACGAGGAGGCTAAGCAGTTAATAATAAAATAAGAACAAATAAAGAAATTACTAATGATAGCACAAATAAAAAATAACGATAGGCCTACAAATGAAATAAATTGCTTTTTAGTTTTTCGGGTAGGTCTAACACACAGTAGGGCTATTAAGAGATTTTTTCCCGGTTGGGAAACACTGATTTAGTGTATGATGCCCAGTTTTTCTTTTGTGACTGTTTACAAAGTTGGTAAGTGTATGATGGCTAGCGTTTTAAAATCTGTTCAGATTTTAAAAGTCGTGTAGTGTATTCCAGCTTTTAATTCCAGCTTGTTCTTCTCTAATGTGAAGTATATTGCTAGTTAGTGTACACTAGTAAACAGACAGTCAAAGGATTTAGAGTTTTTGACTAAAGAGATTTGACTTTTTTTTTCACCATCTTCTTATTCCTCTCGTAGTTGTTCACTGGAGATAAGAAGCAGCCAGTGATCGTGCCTATGTTTGCTGCTGGACTGGTGAGTAAAGTCCTAAACCCCCCAAAAAACATACACTGCCATTTATAGCAGGACTTTTTTTTTTTTTTACAATAAAATATATATTTTATTATGGGGGTTTTTTCACCAAACATCTGTCCCTTCTTCTTAGGGAATGCTGGAACCCACCAAAGAGTCTCAAAAATCTCCAGCACTTTCCCTTTCTGCTCCTGTGGAGAGTGGAGATATTCTATGCACTCAGGTGAAAAGTGCAGAAATGCACATAGATATATGAATACAGATGTATTAGTGATCTAATCTTCAGTCTTTAGATTTTCTGTATTTTTTCATATTCTCTTACTCTTATGTTGATTGAAATAGTACTTTGAATGCTTGCTAACTCCATGTGTTGTCCTGCAGGTGGCGCCCTCTTTGGCCATTAGTGTTGACGGTATGTTTTTTCGCCGTGCCTCCTTCTCTAGAGTTCAAGAAAAAGCCACTCGTCACTCACGGCAGAAATCCTACTCCTGATGCTGCCTCGCTTACTCCTGTCTGAGCACTTCCTTCCTCTCTCACAACACACTTTTCTTCTCTCCATTTTTCAAACTTCCTGTTCCTTCACAATTCACACACCACTTAGCAAAGTTTCTTTCCTGGTACTTGTTTTATCAGTGTTGATTTAAAACAACACCAAACTAGCATTAGCAGAACAATTTGAGAAGTAGCCATCAAAATCTTGTTTATTATCCAAAGAATGGGAAACTTTTTCTTGAAACACTATTTAGTCAGCAAAGATATAAATTCATTAATCTCAGTTTCCTTTTTAAATGTTAATTTATGTTTATATCTATATAAATATACCTTTTATCTATATACCTCTCTCCCCTCTTGTTCACTGTTAAAGTCCAGACTCATGCTGGCTACACACAGAGGCTGAAATATACTACCTCAGACTATAAGTATGCAGCTTCGACTGTGATTTATTACCTTGCCATTATATGCAAGACTTGAGATAAAGAGAACTATACCCATTATCAAGTATGTTCTCAGCTGTGTTGTAAAAAAAATACAACCAAATTGGTCCCTGTGCACCAGCTTCTGTCTCAGGTTTGACTAAAAAAGAGATTGCAAATCTTTTTTGGAATAGCTGATCTTATTGCTGGTGCTTACTTGAAGCCATTGTACAGCTTGGCTGAAATTAAAGGGGAAACACCACCACATTTTACATATAGATGCTACAACACATTGAGATACTATTTTAAAATTGTGAAGGTGTAATTAGGTGGTCATTTCTGTAACACAGTCTATGTAAATGTGTAAATCTGCTTTCATTCAGATAAAAGCAACACAGTTTTTCCTTGCTGTCTCAAAACACACTGTGACCAGCAGTGAAACATTTGTTAATGCAATTTTTTGACCAACTTACCTTGCATACTGTGATTTCTTTAGTGTATGATGCCCAGTTTTTCCTTTGTGACTGTTTACAAAGTTGGTAAGTGTATGATGGCTAGCGTTTTAAAATCTGTTCATATTTTAAAAGTCGTGTAGTGTATTCCAGCTTTTATTTGTGCCTCCCATTCTCAGATCTAAACAACACAAATTGGCAAGAGTGCCAATCATACTGGTCTCAGATCACCATAAAAAGTGGTCTGACATACTTTTATGGACACAAACAAGCCCATCCCAGCTAGTATCTTCAATGAGTGATGACCTTCATATTCATAACCATAAAATGGATTCAGTGACCAACCAGAGTTAACTTTTCTTTTTTTTTTTTTACACAACATAAATCTGAAATCAGACATAACCTTGAGAACAAACGGGAGGCTACGGGTGTGCACAGTGGATCTTGCTTATTTGCCACTATGTTTCTCAAACAAAACTCTCGAATATCTTTCAGATATTTGAAGCCATGAGCCTTAGAAACTTTTGTGATTAGATCTGTTAGAACTTCCTGACAGAGTGATCAAAACCAACTTGACTCATAAAACTATATAGACACAATCCAGTTAAACTGGAACTGGTGGTTTAGGCCAGCTCTTACCATTTTTGGTAAGTGCATTAGACGTTCTGTTCTGTGGTCCATAGGCATGCCTTTTGAGATTAAAAAATATTCTGCAAGAGGTAGGATAGCCTATTTCCATAAGCACATGGCCCAACAACAGATGGCTGAACCACTTACCTCCTACATTAAAAGAAATTAAAGTATTTTCGAAAAATAAATAATTCAAAAGAGGAATAAAAGGCCAACTTGACCAACCAACCCTGAATGAAAGGCCCATCAATCTCTTCAATGCTAACTTCTGTTCAAAGAGTTTCACTCCTCCAGTTTACATCTCCATGTTACTCCCACACCAACCAAAAAAACCCTTGATTTCAAGACGTGAAAATGGGGTTAAATGTCGAGAACTAACCTTTAAAACATATGCATGATGTGACCTTGATGCGCAAATGGAACTGAATGTGTCCATCAGTATGCAAGTGTACCTGAACGAGTGGGGCACTAAGGCATTTCCAACCGGATGGCGTCACAGCTGCAACCTCTGGATGTTACGTAATAGGAACCTGCTGTGATGAGCAATACTGCATTCCTCCTTGTAATTCTCCTCCAACAAGAAGCTCTTGTCTGCTAAATATAGAAAGGCTTAGCAATGCAAAAAAAAAAAACATCTCTCCCATTATGAGATGTGAACATTATCAAGCTAAGGGAGTGGTGAAGACTTCTGTGGTGATGGTCTTGTGGTAACCTCCCTCCATTTCAACATAATTAATCAAAGATAATTACAAAAGAAATGAAAGGGGCACATCTGAATGATGTCAAGAATGAACAACACTTCTAGGGTAATTAAATGGGTACTGGGATGGGTGGACATGTGATTTGCATAGTATCGCCAAAACAGATTATGCCCGACACGGCTTAAAGCATTCATTTATCCTTTGCTGATGTGATTAAGTGTCAAAACGGCTGGATGTGTGCAGAGTCTCCAGCTGAGGTAGGAATGAATGAAGTGACCTTGGGCGATGACGCTGAGCAAGCAGTATCAGGTGCTCACGCTGCAGCTCGGGATGCTGAGGCAGAGCGAGACAGGCATCACTGCAAGCCGATATATCGCAGTGGGAGGAGGCACTTACTTACCGTAATTTTCACACGAGAGACAGAAGGGGGCAAGACAGAGGGGAATTGGAGGTCTGAAGGGGCTACAGATAATATGACAACATTATTCAACGATGACAACAAACTATGGAATAGATAACTGGTGGATGTGCAAATGTACTTCCTAATTATTGAAAAAAAAAAAAACTTAAGGCAATTAAAATATAAATAAAGCATACAGTAACATTCAAGTGCAATCTAGTACATCCTACCTCCTAAAGGCTTGTTCACACCGGGACGAATATCACGCGCGATTATCGCCGACGTTTAACGCCTCGTAACTAAACAAAGGGTGCCAATGTGAGTGTGCACACCACGAGGCGTAAAAGTGTCATTTAAAAAAAAAAAACGCCTCGGGCTCGTTTTTTTGGTTTGACGCGCCGCGTTAAAAACTGGCTGACCAATGAGATTGGCGCTTTTGTTCACGTGCCTGGAGCTGCTGAAGTTACAGTAAAACACGACTTGGTGGCGCTCAAGCACAAAACGGTCTTGCCGAGCACACATTGATACCTAACGACAAAGAGGAAGTAAGTAGACCAAGAAGATGCATCGAGGCAAGATGAATGTAGAGCTGCTGGTCTCATTGGTGTCTGCACACAAAGAGCTTTATGACAAACGTGACAGCGACTACAAAAATCTCGATAAGAGGGAGTTGTTATGGAGAGGAATTGCAGATCAAATAGGATTCGATGTGTATCGGGGTATTTCTATTTTTCATTAAGCGCCATCTAATGTCAGGGAGTGAATTTGCACGTTCACTCGGCTCATCGCCTGCGAAAATCGCTTGGGTATGAACACAAAAGACGATAAGCGTGCGATAAACGTCCCGGTGTGTACGAGGCTTAAGTCTTTAGTTTTCATGGCTGATATGATGGCTGAAAGTACAAATCCTTTTAATCGCATTTAGACTAAGGATACCATATAGATGTGTTTTTAAGTGAGATCACAAATTAAAATGGGTTTAGTACAGGTTTTCTAGAAACTTGGTATAAGAACTTGCTAGTTTTCAAGAATTACAAATAAGCTTATCAGCATCCAAAAATCAAAACTACTGAAAAACCCTACTACTTCTTAAACTACTACTAGACAACAGCAATATGGTTACCAATACATTATTTATCATTTGAACACAACGCTAATTTTATTCAAAATGAAACCTCAAAGATGATGAACTCAGACTTCAGCTTTTGTAAGTCTGGCCTTTTTAGCCCAAGACATTATCATCACAGGAGATTGGCCCACAGCTAGAGAAGAATGCAGACAGTAAGGAACCGCTGGCCAACACAGACCAATTAAATCACATCAGATTAAATAGACGCCCCAGTCAGATGGCTTAGCAGATAACGGCGTACTAGAAAACCAGACAGTGCTGGAATATTTTTAAACTACCAACACTCCCCATAACAAATCACTTCCGTGCAAAATCCTAAGCCACATTTTGGCCACCTTTGAGGAAGCACTAAATGGAAAACTACAGTAACTCAAATCTGTTTACACAAAACCAAACAGGATGTGATTACAGATTTTGGGAGTTGGACTTCACCTAAACAAGTTTAGCAACACTATATTTGATACAGCGTGAATTTTGCAAGGATGCAGTTTCCATTCATTCAAGTCCTGGCGTGGTCACGTACATTTCCATCTACACACAGCCAACTTATCAGTACAGTTATTGCAACTTAAGCATAGCTTTGGTTATATACAAGCTGTTATCTAAACATCAGACACTACAGAGGTTACAATTTTTTTGAAATTCTTGAAAGACTAAACAACACCACCTGACGGCGGCTTTATAAAACCAAACAGTGAGCTTGTATACTGCACTACAAAGACGTGAACTCCATCCACACCAGCCAGCCAATAACATCTCAGCCACAGAAGACAAAATACACTGCCAGATCAAGCAGAGTTTGATGGTTTTCTAGCTTGCCAAACGTAAACAATGACTCAACACAAGAGTCGAAAAGGAGACGGAAATGATGGAAAGATGAATAGGACAGAAAAAAGGACAGATAGATCAGCGAAAAAACAAACTCAACTTTTTAATCAAATACATCTGGGACTTTTTCACATTGGCAAGCAACCTTGAAAAACCCTGGAACTTTAGCGATTTGTTATATATAGCAGCACTGCAGTAAAATAAAACTACAACCATATGTAAACGAAAAAAGGAAACAGCATCTCTCGAGCCTTCCACATGATGAGCACGCACTGGTCTGTTAGTGTTCACTAACTTTTGAACAGCCCACTTGCTTAACTTTCCAAATCGAGGTAGAGGTCGAAACTAACACTGGAGAGGGCAAAGTTTGCCCTTAGCAATTGGGAAAAAGCAAGCTGGGAACACAGTGTCCCAACCAACATTGGTCTGCAGCCCCCACACTCTACAAAAAATCATGAGCTGCATTGATTTTGAACTTCAGATAATGGCTCTTTCTCTTGCCGAAGATTCTAGGTGTCATCTTAGGACTGATCGCCCAGCATACCCTGGCCAAGCTTTAATAACATCCTCAACTCCAAGGCAGTAGAGGACTTCTGCGGAAAAAAAAGAAAAAAAACATACGAAAGGGGAGAAAAAAACATCCCAAAACTATCAGTTTTGGTACCTGTAAAAGAAGCAGTCACAACACACTAGAACCCCCATTCAGCTTGTGAAGTCAGCAATCAGATTGTCCCGTCCTCTGTTGAGCCGGCTTTAAGATGTACTACAGGTAAGCGGCATCCGTTAGAGCGCGAACTCTTGGCATTGCATCTTTGCAGATCTGCAGTGGAGTCCCAAACTGTTTCTCCTCACACTTTCTGACTCCCTCTCCTGTTTCCAGTTGCTGGATCGCACACAGTCAGGGCTTTGTTAGGTGGCGATTTCCCTTGGCGCGGTGCAGACAGAACAACACTTCAGTCAGCAAACAAACACAAGCATCCGCAGCAGGCAAGCACAACCCGTAGTCACTCAGCACTTGTGTGTTCCTCTCTGCTGATACCCTCAGTTTCCCCCTCCCATCTTGGCTCTCTCTCTCTCTTATTCTACCACTGTCTCTCTCTTCCTTTCCTCCCTGTCTCACTCTCCCGTTGGCTCTGACTTTGAGGGCGTGAGCACTGGGTTGGCAAATAGACTTGCTGCAAACCGATGATGGCCCACTGCAGGAATATTTTGAGCCAGGAAATTTTTAAGGGCCCAAACAGCCCCTGCAAATGGTGCCTTTAGGGAAATTTTCTTCCCATGAACACTTTCTATGCTCTTAAGGAAAAATGTCAATTAAAAAAAAAAAAAAACACTTGTC